CTCGTAGAGAGCTCCGGGTCTCAGGGAAAGCTGGAGGCCAGGTTGATGGAGGTGCTGAACACAGCTGGTATGTTTAATCTGGTGAGGAGGTTTCTCCAGCGCTCTGACTATTCACAATCAAATTGGTTTTCTGTACCAAACCTGGCAGGTGTGTAATATGTCTGAAATTAGTAATGTCCCTCCCAGAAGCACACAGTGTTCCCTCCTCCAGGAAAACCTGATTGTGGCTTGCATTTTTATAGAAATCCAACATGAATTAAGATATAGTTGGTCTTTACAAATCTTTTTTTTTAAAGTTGTTTGAGTGAGTAAAGTCTGAATGAACTTGTGAATAAATGCATCATAAGTTTGAATATCCTCTTTTGGAGCCTTGGTGTTCATGTAACATTTATGCCTATATGAGTTTATCAAAATTTGTGAGCTATGTGAGGAAGTTTCATTTATAATGCATACACTTTTCAGTTATACATGACTAAATTCCCCCCGATTCATTTCTCTCCAAAAAGTGAAATGTATTAATACTGATGCTACACGTTTCCCCTGAAACTACAACATGCATTTTCTGAGGCAGAGGGGACTCACAGTCAATATTGTCCAGCAGGCTTTTAAAAAATGAATTCTCCTAAATGAAATGTTGGTAAGGGATATCAATATTAATGGCAGAATACTGAGACCTCATTATTCTGAAGATCAGGGTGGGGTGTGGATTTAGAGTGGGGAAAGATAAAGGCAACACTTCAACATTTCTGGCAGAAAAGGAACATTCGGCTTGCTGTAAGACACATCCTGAAGGCTACCTGTCATCCTCACTTTTTAAACTTATCCGCCTCTTTTACATTTATAGTTGAAAATGTGTTAAATCATTACTTTGAGTTAGTTTGAGCAAACTGAATTCAGTTATTAAAAAGCTGTACGGTTAAGCCATGATTTATGGCAGCGCAGGGGGTTTGTGCACTGCAGATAGAGGCTGTATGTGAGCAGGTAAAGTAGTGCATGGAAGATAAGGTGCTCATTAATACACAATTCAAGTGGGAAGAGGATTAGATGAACGGTTCTCAAGATATGTTGAGGATAAACACACAGAGATGCCTTCCTTCCTAATTTGATGTTTCCAAGTTGAAAGAATTGTTTTGAAGCAAAAAGGAAATAATGGTAATAGAAACAGACACTTTCTGCTGCTTAGTTCCAGTGGGAAACTGAAATAATAATAATAATGAGTATGTATTCTTTCCTTTAAAAATCTTACAAGGACAAACGCATAATCACTATCAAACAGGCATTGGTCACAGCAGTCATGTTTATTGTCATATTAGGTCAAACATTTCTTTGTTCTATTCAATTATTTCTGTAAATCCCAGCAGTGTGACTGCAAAACAACATCAACAATATCAAAACCTTGAAATCAGAATAGCTTGATCGAATTCAGCCATTATTCTTTTAATTATGTGCACCTGTGCTTTCCCTACTGCATTTCCACTGCATGGTAAACCACTCTATCAGAATCACTCTTTTTTGTTTTTTCATTAGTAAGAGTTGTGGATAGTACCTGGTACTATTTTTAGTACCACCTCGTTTGAGTTTCTAGAAATGTCTATTCTAGCAGGTAGATTCAGAAATGTTTTTGAAATATGGGACAGAACTGTTAGCTAAATGCAAGTTAGCAAGCTAGCTAGCCAACTTTGTTATGTCAGTCGGCTAAACACACAATATATACACACACTTCTAAGAAGCATTGCCAGTCTGTGAGTTGCCAGCTAGCTTACAGCTCAGTACAGTCGGTACAGCTGTTCAGGGTAATTGAAAAAATACAGTCCACCAAGAAAATGTACCCTGAAAAAAGTGCCACTTTCTGTTAGAACACACCGTAACAAGGTGGGGGAAGTACCTATCTCAGATTAAAAACCAAGCGTTCTTTTTTAATGTCCAGCAGGGGGCGACACCGCTTGTTTGCAAAAGAAGCCAGAATGTATCGAAGTCTATGAGGAAAAATACCCTTTTTCTAACAAGATTTCTTCGCTCAATAAACATTTACCTAATCATGGTCTCGTTAGTTTCAAATCTTCTTCAATAGAGAATCATGTTCATTTGGTAAATGAGGTTCCCATTCAAATTGAAATCAACAATAGCACACATTTAGTATGTTGTTACCTTGTGATTGACACTTGGCTAAAGAGGCAGCCTGTCAACTGGGATAGAGGTGTAGCAAGACCTTCTAGCTCCACCCTCTAGTACAGAAATGGTCCCTTCTCGCTTAAATAAAACAACATGGATCCACGTTGACTACAGCCACTTATTATGCAGTATACACCTTATGATCCTACCTGAGTTCTGCTACTCGCACCAAGCTAAATATATAGGAAAATATTTGTATAATACTCAAGTTTAATGTCTAAAACAGACAGATGGATGATTAATCTGTGTGTGTGTGTGTGTGTGTGTGTGTGTGTGTGTGTGTGTGTGTGTGTGTGTGTGTGTGTGTGTGTGTGTGTGTGTGTGTGTGTGTGTGTTTACAGGGGATCGGAGGTGATGCAATCACCTTTGCCTGGGTGTGCAAGCCCCCATGCTCGGTGCCCCACAGACAGCTGACGGTCTGATGCAACCCGTGGTTCAGCTTGAAGCTCCATCAGAACTCTCCTCTGAATCATGCATCAGGCTGCTTTACATCATGCAACTATATCAGCCTAGTCTGAACACATTTAGCTTCAATATCTTTCACCAAGTGTCCTCTGCGGGGATCATCAACCTTGCATCGCTGTGGGTGAGGTTGATTTACATTTCTCATTCAAGCTGAACATTTCTTATCAGAGCTGAATACTGAGCAGGGTCGGAGCTCAGAGGAAGGTTTGGACATATAATGATGTCCTCAGTATCAAAGAAACCTGCCACGAACTGGCTCAACAAACTGCTTCCTTTGAGGTTAACAGTAAAGTCGCTAAAGCCTACGCCATTTGCTTTTCTAAATTTGAACTTTTTTCAGTGTGTATACAGTGTTTCCCTCCTGCTCTACTGTTTCCTAAATGCCTATTCTGCATATGCTTATACTGTATGATGAACATTTTTAAATGTCAAAATAAAGTCAAATGTAGTTGCTTAGAGTTTTGCCAATTAACGCTGGTACTCTTTTACACTACAGTAACCAAATTATCACATTTGCATAATATCCCTATGAGAGATTGAATGGGACATAAAAACGTATTTGCATGCCAATGTTCACACAACATGCACTAATAATCCCACTAATGTATGCACGCAAACAGTATTAATTATAATATGTGCAAAATATCAAATGTCAAATGTCTCACTTTTCTTTCTTTTTTAACATACCACAAATGTAATGTCCTGTGAGTTAATTATGCACATATGTAATACTATCAGGAATCTTCTTTTTAAAACAACTGATTAGAACGATAACATTTTCTTTAGGATTGTGTTGTTTTGATAGGTCCATGTGCATGACAAGTTTTTTGCTGCATTTTGTACTTAACGACATGTTTCTACGGTGACAGTATTGCACTTTGCACCATCATTTGTGATTTATTTTACATTTTGATTATAATTTGTTGTTTTATTTATTCAGGAGGAAGTTGTTTAATGCCTCTGTTTTTATATACTGCAGGTTAACAGATAATTGGCTAAAAACAGAATCAGATAGCTCAGATAATCAAGATTCAGTATGAACTATTTATATTTATTCAAACTATAATATATGTTCATCTTCCATATGCTACGGTACGATTGCTTTGCCATGGACTAAAACTGCATTGGTTACCAGTGTGAAAATCATTTTCTAAAAACAGATAGCTTATGGAAATAGCACATTACATATAGCTATATACTAGCTTTGTTTGGATATGTATTCGATTGTGTACGGTTTGTGGGGGTTGCATTCTATCTATACAAATAGAAATGTTGGCAAATCCTCACAAGAGAAAAACACAGACGAGGTGTTAAACAGCGCAAACACAAGGATAACAGAGGATTCTGGGCGTGGGATTTAGAGAAAACAGTACCCCTAAAAGGTGTCTACACACCAAACTGACAGCAAAGAACACGTCCCGACGGAACGTCACCTCACGTCTCCTGCGTCTTGGCCATGTTTCGCACTGGAACACACCGCAAAGACTTCAGCCGACGGCCAAGTAGCACGTACGAACTGCGCATGCGTGAGTGGCAATAACTCTCCTTACCAGCAGGTGGCGGTAGTGTGTATTCGTCATTCAAAAGAGTCAACAACCGGAAGACAGACTGCGTGATACACAGAGAGAAGAAGAACAGACTGCGTAATATAAACAAACAACAAATAGCGTGTGCGTTCCATTTTCACTCTACAACGAGAAGCTCATGGGGCTTTCCCGAACCTGTGTCGAGAGCTGGAGTTAAATTAAATCTCCGATTTGCCTTCTTAATAGTTTGTTTGGGTCCCTCACTTCCGTTTCGCTTCTCATGCACTGATTCGCTAAGCTGAACAGCCAATCAGAGTGATTTCTTTGGCCGACAGCCTACTGATTCAACATGTCGAATCGGCGGCGGAAGGTGTCGGCACGGCCGAAAAGACACAACGGTGCAGTACACACCAATCTGAGTAGAGCGACACAACGCTCATCGACGGCCCGACATCTATCGACGCCGAAAATCGGCTCGGTATAAGGACCTTAAGAAGCAGGCCGGTACTGTGTGTTTAATGCTACAGCAGGACTGAAGGGATCGTGGGGATAACATTTATTGAAATGATCCATATTGAAAACTTTCTTTTAAAATGTCTTACCCGCTGAGAGAGACCATAACCAGTTCCTCTCTCGCTGTTTAAAGCCTGTTTGGGCTCATTATTGGAAAACACTGCTCAAATGTTAACAGTTGGGTGACAAAAACCCCAGCTCTTCCTTACTTCAGCATAAATGTAAGGCCATATCGTGAATGTACCATCTGGAATGTTGGAAATGTAAATGCTTAGTAATAAACTGTGCTGCAGAGAGAAGGGAAAGAGTTGGAGATAACGTTACCATCGGAGGGCGATCTTGATGGGCGTGGTGAGGCAGGAAGTGAAGAGGTCAGCTGGGAGGTCAGGGTTCATGGGTAGCAACTCGCTGGCCTCGCAGGCCGCCAGCTGGATGCAGTTCTTCATGGAGGGAGGCAGGGGCATCTGGGCCAGCGGGTGGCTGGGGTTGATGGCTGCCACCTGAACACAGAAAACATGACAGTTACCACCTGAGTCACACTAAGGAATGATCCCTAGGTTAAGTGAATGAATGCATTCCTGTTAAAATCATCATGGACACAGCACCGTACTCGCAGTAAAAATAAGTCTCTGCATTTACCCCATCCTAGTATTAGTAGCAGTGGGCAGCTATTATACAGCCCTGGGAGCAGTGTGGGGGTCTGGTGCCTTGGTGAACTGGCCTATAAAAGTACCAGTGTACTCTGTGTACTTGGTCCATTCTGGGACTAGAACCAGCAACCCTGTAGTTCCCAAGTTAAGTTGAAGTTCCCTTCAGACTGAGCTATTACCCAAAATATGTCCATGTAAAAGAATAAGGGTTGAAATATCAGCTGTTTTTTTTAAAACTGCAGCAATCACAGAAAGTGGTCTCACTATGAATCTGGTTTTCAGACCAAAACTTTAAAGGGATATTTCAGATTTTTTTGAAGTTGGTTGTATAAGGTAACTATCCATAATCAGTGTTTTCAATCCTCTAGATCCAGACATTTGGTCATGGGAATAAATGACAGAGGGATCAGAGGGAAGAGGAGCTGTGGGACAAACAAGGAGACTTTAAAGAAGGGAAACTCGTTTGTGGACACTTTTTAAGTCCGTCAGAGCCAACCAACACTTCCCTTTGTGACATCCCATTTGCTCAAACACATTTATGGTAAACATGTGTTTGAGCAAAATGTGGATGTGGTTCCCCTCTACCATGCAGATTGCTTTTCTCTTGTTTGCTCTGGGAGTGTATTAGATATAACTAAAAATAAGAATAGTCATAACATTGTGCCACATTGCAACATCGTGGCGTTATAGAGTAGTGCAAGAATGAGTCCCCAAAAGAAGTTTGCATTTGACCACTTCTGGTTCCGTCAATGTTTAACAGGATTTTGGTTAGATCAGCGTCGTATAGATAGATGCCTATAATAAGGTCTCAGGTTACCACAAGCTGAAGATATTTTCACATTTAGTTCTACGACAAAGTACGGCAGTTGCTAATTAGTGGCTAAATGAGACTACTGAACGTCATTATGCCAAACATCAGCCACCTTTATCCTGCTGAACAAAACGTGGCATTATCATGAACATGTATTCTGCAATATATGGAAATCCACTGGGAAAATCCCATTGCTTTTTGTTGAGGGAGCCCTTGCCATGCTAACTTCAAGGTGGCCCTACAAAAATATGTCACTGACTTAGACACTGCAATGGGTGCAAGGTGAGAGGACAACAGAAGAAAACAGAATGATGAACTGGAGACCAGATAAGACATTTGAACACAAGCAGGGCTGGACTGGCCATCTGGCATACCGGGCATTTTCCCGGTGGGCCGACGTGCCATTTTTTTTTTTTTTCTGAAGTCCCGGCCCATAAGACGGGTAGATTAGCCCTCTGTTTAAATGTTTTTAGTAATTGACACTGGACCGGCCCAATCAAATCTTTAATCACCTCCCCCTTTGGGCCGCTCGGTGTGCATCATTAAATCACGCCCCCCAGGAGGTGAGCCGGCCGTTGAAGCCTAACTGCCTTTTTTTCGAGAAAAAAAAAAGTTCGAGTTAGAAATGGAGAAGGCGAAGGCGAAGACGAAGGCCAAGCGAAAAGTGGGAGCAGAAAAATTGCGGGCAAGAAAAAAGCAGGCCCTTCCTGCTGATGCTGCTGCTTGTGTCAAAATAGCCGACATGTTTAGTACAGGTGCAGGTCCATCTTCAGCACCCGTGGCCGATATAGGTGGTGAGGAAGATGATGAGAGGGAGAGAGATCAGCGCGAGTGGGGAGAGGGAGGAGAACTCGCGGTAAGCAGAAGCTAAGACAATTAGGAAAAGATTATTATTAAGGTTATGATACTCTGTAGTTCTGGAACCCATTAATATCCCCTTGATGAAGCACTAATAAGACACATATTATAAGAGAAACATTCGTTAGCCTACAAGCTAGTAAGCTGGCTTTTTTAGGTTTTCCCTGGCAAGTTAAAATATAGCTTAATGGGACTCCGATACGTTGTCTCATTGAAAGAATGTCATTATTTTGTTAACCACCATTCATGAACAATTACTGTCAGCTGGCAGCTTGTTTTGTTTAGTTTATTTACTTATTTGGTTATAAGGGCAACAGTGGTCTTTTGGGACCTGAACAAAATGTTTGTATAGTCAGCTTTTTGTGGTAGTTTTGATTGACAATATATAGAATGAATAATATAGAAATAGATAAAAAATGGAGGCACACATGTAGTTTTGACCATTAACTGTGTGGTATTGTTATGTCAATGCCTATTTGTATGGACCTCTATCAGGGAATCCATTCATTCTGTATCATTGTGTTGAGCCAGGTAGCATCCCCAGAGGAGGAGAGTGTCAGCGAGAGTGAGGAGAGCAAAGAGCAGTAGGACATAGATTACTTTGCCCGCCCCGAGCCATCTATGTTACAGATGTTTTTAGAACAACACCCACAACAACATACCAGAAATCCAGTTGTGCAGAAGGTCTTCACCTGTAAAGATGGCACCAGCAGAAAGTGGCTTATATATTGCAAGGGACGTCATATGTTGTTTTGTTTTGTATGTCTGGCATTTGGGAAGAGGACTGACACTGGCACATTTATAACTGGAATGTCAGATTGGAGGCACGCACACCAGCGTACAGAGGAGCACGAAAAGAGCATTACACATTCAACCTGTGCTGAAGCTTTTTTCTTACGGTGCTCTAAAGCAGACATCGCATGTTTGCTGGCAGTCAGATGTCTGCTCATAGGGAACAAGTCCGAAAGAGCGTGTGGTGGATGTGGTGAAAGTGCTTGGGAAGAGGGGGCTAAGCTACAGGCAGGTGGAGAATGAGGGAGCATATATGCTAGCTTACAACACCGTGGACCCCCCCCCCCCCCCCGAGGAATGGACGCTGGACATAGTGCCCCTCTCCACAACAAGCATTCATTTTAGTTATTTCAGTCTAGTATATAAGTTACTTTGTGTGTACAGTATATATATACAGTATATATATCTTGCTAGTTGTGTACTTTTGTAATTTATGTGGGCATACCCCCCGAGACCCCCCTATTAGTGCTCGGTCACTGTTCGCTTTGTGAGAGGGTTTGAAGGTCTAATTTCTAATGATTGATAGTTACACATACTTGTGGTATGTATTAGTTTTGTTTGCCCCTGGTACGTAAAAAGGATAATAATAGCGTTTTTTTTAAATTATACTGAGTTATTCTTCTTGTCAGGAACCGCTACTATTCGTTTGTTTTATGGATTTGGGTCGGTCTGGGTCTAAATGCCAGGGCCGATTTGCTGTCCCAGTCCAGCCCTGAACACAAGTTCAGGACAGACTGAAAGAGAAAGAGGTCGGAGTAGAAAGAAGACCTCCATACTTGGAGTAAAAACTCATCTTGAGTCTCAGTGTGCACATGTCCCATAAGGCAACAGGTGAAGGAATCAGCCCCCTGCTACACCTACACCATCCTGCTCTAGCTGTTGTCATCATTTCCCCAAGCTGCTTGTGCTTCTCAGATTTGCCATCAAATCATCACACTCAGAAACTTTTCTACAAAGACAAATCTGATATTCATTTGAGCACTTCAGGCAACAGTCTTCTCTGAGAACAGGAATGTATACATTGTTCCCAGGGTGAGCTCATTCTCATTTGTAAGTGTTTACTATGAACGGAGATGTTTTTCTCCACGTATAAGCCGCTGTGTTGTGTTTACCACGTAGAAAATTGAAAACCATTTCAAATTGAAATCTCAATAAGAGTTAAACACCTTTCTGGTACAGTTATGAACAGCATGGAATAAGTAATGAGAGTTGTTTTTAAGGGATGTTCTCTCTGGTGCATTAAAACAGTAGGAAGATGTGATTTCAGAAAATACAAATTATAGTTTTTGCACATTTTGAGAACATTATGATAATGTTTTTGTTTTATCGATCCCAGTGAGGAAATGTTCCTCTTGCTTCCCCCTTAAGCAGGCGGTCTTTAGTGGTAAATCCTCTTGTCTATTCTTAAAACAGAATGAGTGGTTATTTCCACACAGAGCTCAGTCAATACTTGCAAATGTGAAAAATGGAGGAGGGATGAATACGGTGAGTTATATTTGGAGATCATTGTGCTGTTGTACTATAGATTTGTTTTCTAGGAGTTCGATATGGAGTGTCTTTTGGTAAGTACACTTTAATGATAAAGGCAGCAACCCAAGACTTACCTTTAACATCACTGACTGCATTTATTCTTGCATATATCATTTAGAAACAGATTAGGGAGAGAGGTTAGAGTAATATCATTGCTTGTATTGCCTCTTTCTTTAAAACAGTCTCAATCCAAGAAACACAAGAAACCATTATTTTTGATAAAAGTGGAGATTTTCATAGTTACCATTTTTTTTTAAATATAAATTGCATAACTCCGAGGAAGCACTCTTTATTATTAGGAAAGCTGGTCCACCTTAAAGGTATACTTACAGAAGCTCAGTCAGTAGGGACGTGCCTTGGGAACTGAATGGTCAGCAGTTCAAGTCCTGATCGGATAAAAAATATGGAGTGTTGACTGGTAGCTCGATAAGCACTACTACTGGCACGGCCGGGGTGTCCTTGAGCAAGTTGCTACCCCCTCAACTGCAACCCCAACCCTCTCTTAACAACCCCAACAGCGCCGGAACACTGGCAGCCTCTTCGCTCTCCCAACGCTCGTTATTAGTCTGGTCTATAGGTCCTGTTAGTCAGAGGCAATCTACACCGTAACACTACTTTATGAACCATTATAAGCGTTTGGGAGAACTACAATGTGATTAAAGTAACAAAGCCAAAGTGTCTCTAGAGGCGGGGCCCTGTTCATTGCTATGAAAGTTGCTAATTGGCGCATGAAGCCAAAATTGCCTGACTTGTGAGTATAAAAATATCCGGACCCTCTGAGATTCTAGGCCAATAGAGAATGCACATTTGCGTTTCACCAAGCCCCGCCTCCAAACTGCTGCATCACAGCAGTGTCACC